GTGTTACTATGTAACACTAGGGGAAGTTAAGGATTTTTTAAAATATTTCTTTATAAAATTAAGAACTTAAAACTTATATACTATTAAAATATGAATTATTAGCTAATATTTGATGCTATACTAATTGGTATAACATAAACAAAAAGTGGTTTAATAAGATTTTGAATGTAAGACACAAACTTTCTGTGATGCATAGTAAAGGATACGTGGGGGGAAAGGGGTAAAACCTGTAAAATTAATTTGCGAACGTACCTTCTGGTGTAAGACGTTAGTTACTCATAGATAAAGAGCTGCAGAATTTTGCAGCACAGTGAAAACATGCTGATTCATTTAGGTTTAATATGCAAATAACATCAGAAATCTCACAAAAATCTAGGCAAATATTATGCTACAAACAGACAGATGCATCCTTTATACGTTTATTGGTATGATCACGTGATGATGGGCTGTTATATTTTGAATATTAAACAACTTCTAAATCTTATTGATTTATTACTGATTCTGAAAATGAGATCAAAATATTCAATAAGATGTTAAACTAAGGTTTTCAGATTGGCCTGGGGATGTGGACTAAATGTACTATATGACAATACTAATTGGGATGTGGACTAAATATACTATATGACAATGCTAATTCATCATATTTTAGTCAAACTGAAAACATAAGAAGAATAAAATAATTACTGACTGGTAATTCTGGTCAACATATCATTTGTTGCCCTCATAACCAATCAATAATTGTTCAGTATATTCAACTGATTTCATACTAGCTTGCAATCTTAAAATTGCATTTTGCTGAATTTAATGTTTTAGTTTTCATATAACAATATATTCATTTTAATAAATCTTATCATTGGAGTAGAAAACATGAATGATTCTTCACCTCCGATGTTGTTTTACGTATTTTCCAGACACTGTGGACTCCATCCAAGTTGTGAAACATCACAAGAAGAGAAGGGTTTCTACAGGTAAAAACTACCACATCATCTTGAGTGCAGGAGTAACTAAGCTTATACAAAGAAGACGAAGGTCCTCTTGTTTTCAGTACTACAGGAGCAACTTCATCAAGGGGATGAAGCATGCTGAATAGACGTGGTAGCAATTCGCCTGCTTCACTGTAACCACACAAATAAACTGTACACAACTAATTATATAACTAAAACAATTGTCTTATATAATACACAAGTATAAAATACATGAAAAAAATTAAACATAAAGAGCAGGAAAAAATATAAATGTTATTTGTTCAAACATTTTATAAAAACCTGTATACACTTTTAGTCCTTAATCGTAGAGTTGAAATGTTGAATAAATGGAAATTAGCATCAGCAGCTATTTAATTATGGACAAAAACACTGTAAGCAATGAACGGTGTCCAAATGATGATGATTCAATGGATTCTAAGCATTACAGATTTAGTCTCACATGTATTGATTTATAGACACTTTGTTATACAAGATTGTCTTCACTAATGTATAAGTACATTTTACATTATCTTATATTTTATTTGCTTGGTTTTGAACATAACTTTTAGTAGAAATTGTTAAAATACTAAAAGTTTCCATTTTATATTACCATTTTTAGTTTATAGAAAACGTTTTACAGTAATATTTCAGAAGATGGGTATTAAAATTTACATAATATTAAAGTTTGAAGTAGTAACTCTTTCAACATAGGCTCCGTCAACTTGACCGACCACGTGACCTCTCTGTATTCATTTAAAGTCTTTATAGTTTTGATGATACTACTAACTTTTAATAAAGTATGTATATCTTCACAATATTTGGCAGACTTTCAGTAAACACTGTAAGTCTTTCACATATAAAAAAAATCATTTTTAGTAAATTATTCTTAATAAGCTAAAAAAAAGATTTGTCAGTGAATATATTGAGCATTTTTTTTACCAGTCCACATGGAAAGTGATTTTTGTGTTAAGAGTAAAAATACTTTTCTTCATCTCAAAAATCTCAGATTTGATTTGTGTATTCTCTAAAACCTCCTAAACACATTTAAAATGTTTGTTTCCACTAAAACTTTTCATTTTATCTGTTATTTTGTCTACCCTAACTCTATATGTTGATCAATTTGATCGACCTCATAACAACCAAATAAAAATCGAAATAAATATAAATTACCCTTTTTTTTTATTTCTACAATGACTTCAAATTGTAACATGAAACTACATTCTTTATCCTAAGTAGCTTTAAACTCATAACAGTACACCATGTCTAACTACTACTTTTCATGCCATTATAAGTTGTAAATTACTTGGGGAATGTGGAGCTCACGTTAGGTTATGTTATTAAATTACATTATTCACAAGCTACTTGCGTGAGTGCTTCATGAAACATTTTAATCATATTATATATATTTTACCTAATCTTACCTTACCTACAGAGATCCCTACTTTTATATTTTAGTCACTTTTATAACAATAAATAAAGTATAAACATGAAAAAAAGAAATAAAGTACTTACCTGGGTCTTCTTTTTTTTTGCTGTTGACTGTCAATAACACTTAACTCTACTTTTCTTATACTAACAGCAGTAACACACTAAATAATTTTTATTTAATCAAATAATGTACCAAAGAACATAGAATAATAACAAGCAAAAAGCAGACAATTTCTCCTAACCATCAAAATTTTTCTGGCTTTCTAACTGTACGACAAGAGTCGTAACAATTTCATCCAAGCTAGTCATTATCTTTCCCATGGAAATAAAGCTTGTACTAACAGAGAAAATGACAATTATCTGCTTAGAAAACAACAAACTATAAGTCATTTTATAGATGAAAATCTTGCCTTTCTATTGGTTATACATAATACAGTATTAAGGGTAAAGAGTAAAAATAACTATTAACAAATCCTGAAAGAGAGGATGTGCCAGGTGGGTGTGTCAAGAGGGGTCTGATTTTCTATTTGATGGCTCTGTAACCAAACAAGATTGAAGGTTATAAAAATTATGGTTTGTCTGAGCAATGATGATTGTATATGAATAATTTATGTTAAATTTCATACTTATTGGAGAAGTGGTGAATAAAATAAGAGCAAAGGGGATGCCTAAAGAAAATAGGTCACATTTCTCATACTAGGGGAAATTCAGGATTTGTTAAAATATTGCCTTATAAAAGTAAGAATTTCAAACTTATATACTATTAAAATATGGATTATTAGCTATGATTTTATGCTATACTAATTGGTATAACATAAACAAAAAGTAGTTTAATTAAACTTTGAATGTAAGTCACTAAAACCTTGTGCCATGTGCAGTAAAGGATGCCAATGGTGATAGAGTTAACTATGTTTTGATGCTAATTTTGCCAACATACATTGATTTTAAAGGAGTTTAATGAAATTCTGAATGTAACTTCAAAGGTCTTAACATTCATAATTTGGCCCTGTTATACACATATGGTTAAGAAACAATATAGCTACACCTCTCCTATCATTCTGACAGAGTTAAGAGACAAAATTAACCTTCTGGGCATTGGTGGTTCAAAGTACAGATTTCATGACATCTTTAAAAAGTTACCTTCAAAATTTAATTAAACCACTTTATTTTCAATGTATATCAATAAATTTGGCATTAAAATGTAGTTTACAATTCAAATTTTAACAATACACAAGTTTCAATTTCTCATTTTTGTCCGTAACATGACACTTCCTTGTTCCGAATTACCAACCTTAGATATTCTTTCTACTCCTATTTGAGCTTCAAGACAAATTACATAGTCTCCACTCATCTTGATTTAAAAAGATTTAAACCAGAAAGTCAAACTTGCATGCCACACCTTTCTAGCCCACAGTCTTTCAAAAACCAATAGAAAGAGAAGATTTTAATTTACCAAATTATGTAGCAGTCTAGTTCATTCTGATGACAGCTTTTGTATTAATTGTCCTACAGATTCCTTTTTTGAGTTCACTGTGACTAAGTAAGGGAAATATTTTAACACACATATAGCTTATCAGTTAAATTATAATATTTATAGGACATTGTATTCTTTGTTTGTTATCATTGTGTTCTAAACTGAAAATTTTTAAAAAATTTAAATTTAATAAAACAGTAACAATAACCCCACCAAAAATTAGGGTTAACTTTTATCAATACTTCAACAGCGCTAAAAGTACAAGACCCACACTTATATAATAAATTTCATGTTTTTATGAATATTTTTTTTATTTATTGTTATAAAAGTAACTTATTAGGTTAGATATGAAAACATAAATGAAAACAAATTGAATAGAAAAATTCTCAGCAAGGTATGCATGTGAGCTACACATGATACATAATTCAACACATTATTTTACCCCAACTTGAGCTATTTGCTCACTGGATATTTCTAGCTTTGTTATACACATTTAGTTGCTAGATATGTTCAAAGATCAATAAAATAATAAAATAAAAACAGGTGTAAACTGTTACAAGTCTGAGGTAATCATCTGGGAGCTTCTAGAGGTTATGCAACTAAATTGTGAGAACCATAAGATGACAAAAAAGAATTTTTAGCCTTAGCATGAAAATCACATTGTACTCAAGTCTAGTCACATTCTGAGTCAGAATACGACTCCATAAAATTAGATTAATTTTTAGTGGAAAGATTTAATTAAAAATCTGATTTTTATGCACAGAAGGTTTGTATCATCTACTAAAACTCTTCCATATTTTGTGAAGATACATGGTAGTTACAAGGTTGGTCAAAATGACCAAGCCCATATAGAGAAGTTCAAGAGATAACATCTTCCTGCCCAAGTTAAAAAACAACATTATTAAGGTCTTTTATCTTTCTACCAGAGTAAACAGACAATAACCCAAATTGTTTCCTCACCTCTGTGTATCTGTGCTTGACAATGAACGTTCAAACACCAGTCCAAAGCATGTTTCCCACATCTTAGAAACCTAGGAAAGAAAACCAGGTATTATGTATAGCAAGAAACATTAAGATCTATTTTCTCTCAGAGAATGAAGTTTATGATGTATTGGAACATAAAGTTTAGTGGAATAACTCAACAGCTCTTTACATATTGTTAATGCTTATTATCCTCAAATCTTAAGGTCATTTTTATCAAAGTGTATATGGGTTAGTACTCTTTACTGCCCTTTAACAATAAAGTTATCTTTATCAACTTTTATATTTATTAGTACTCTTTACTATACTTATCACCTTTTATACATGTGTTAGTATTAATTACTCTACTCACATGTCAAGGTTATAATTACCAACTTTTGTTTGTGTTAGTACTATTTACTATAATCAAATCTTCAGGTGTACTTTATCAACTTTTATATGTGTAAATAATGCTTTACTATCCTCACACTGTTGTGTGCTAAAATTCTTATAATCTTCAAATCTTACCCATTATCAATTTTGTTCTGTTGATAATACTTACTATCCTCAAATCTTAAAAATGGTCTATCATTTTATTCATTGGATCAATTACGTTAAAAAATATATTTGCCTCACACATGGACTTTATAAACTTAGATCTTATGGATGGACCTGAAATGTATATTTTTATTAATGGACTTGAAACTCATATCTTCTAAATTGAGTTAAAGTGGAAATTTTATGAATGGACAAGTGCAATTGAAGACTATTGTTGTAACTGTGACTAACAGTCTGTGAGCAAAAGAAGAAGAATGCAAATACACACACACACAATGGTGGGATTCAGCCGGTTCGCACCGGTTCGTGCGAACCTGTTCTTAGAATTTAATGACCTCCACGAACCGGTTGTTAACAATCATATGTATAGGCCTGATAATAACGTTACAACTTACAAGTACTCGTGTTTACAACGCAACTTTACTAGCAGGCTAGGCGGACTAGGTCTACTAGATCTCTGATGAATCATTTGCCAGCAGGTAAGTGTTTTTTCATACAGATTCTTATGATCTTATCTAAATTATTATTATTAGATCTAACTTAGTTATATCATCTACTATAGGCCAAGCGTCCTAGGCCTACGTGTGAGTGCAAATCTGTGCTGAATTATTAGCCAGCGTATGAACGCTTTTTCTACAGATTCTTATCTAAATAATTACGTTAATCTATTATTATTATACCTAAGGTTAGATCATATATATACATAGCTCTAGGCCCCTAGATCTATATTATTAATATACTGTTACGTCTCCGTTTGTTAATTAACTTTCGGTAACTTCGTTCCGACGAAACTTGCGACACAAGTTCTTTACTTAATAAAACTGGTTTATT